ACTCTCTCTCTCTCTCTCTCTCTCTCTCTCTCTCTCTCTCTCTCTCTCTCTCTCTCTCTCTCTCTCTCTCTCTCTCTCTCTCTCTCTCTCTCTCTCTCTCCCAAATTTGGAAAATTTAGGGTTTCAACAAACGCGATCGAATCACCCATAAATTTCAAATTTGCAACTGATATCTTCTTGTTTGAATCACTCGATTTCAATTTCTTTCTTCTTCGTTTGATCCGAAATAGTGTGAAGTGAGGCACCATTTTTTCCGGGTGTGCGGAATTTGTTTTTGTTTTCCCCCAAATTGAATTATAGACGATGAGCGATATCACCGGTGATCTGTCGGCGGTGAGTGAAGCCAAAGGTGGTTCTGACGCCGCCCGGATCTCGGAAGTTAAATCATGGCTCACCTCTCAGTTCGAAGCCGCCGGTAAAGAAGTCCCTAATTTCGAGTACACTCATCGGAGCATTACCCATTTGTATAACCTCGCCACCGTGTCTCAAGCTAAGTCTCAGGCTGCCACCATTGTCGCCAACGATTTTCGTCTAAAAGCTTCTGAATACCGTGCTCAAGGTACTTGCTTAGCAATCCCTACCTATTGATTTGCTCGCTTGGCTGCTTCGAAGAATCTTGTTCTGGGCATTATCAGTTTCTGATCTGTTGCTATGCTATTGTTGTTTTTTATTACGTTATCTCTAAGTTCTGAAACAAAGTTGGGTTTTTGGGGAAAATTTCCCAGTTTCTCTCTGTCAATTTGGTGTGTGTTTTCTAAGATCTCTGGTTAATTTTTTTTTTATGTAGCGGCTAGGATTAGAGAGATATTGGAAAGTGCAGGAATGTCACAAGAGAGTTTACCGTCAAATGTGGTCTCTTCAGCTCAAGTTCTTGCAAATGTGGCAAATTTGTTGAACATACGGGACACTGAACTGAGCAGGTGACTGCACTGTTAGCACTCATATTTATATGTGTTGCTATATTGAACTGTAAACTGATGCGGAAGAAATGTGTATAGTTTCCTTGTAGCAATGGGAGACATTTCTCTGAGGAAGACTGGAGTGGAGGAGAAAAGAGCTAAAGCACAGAAGGATTCAAATGCTCTTCTTGACTATACAAGAAAAGCAATACAGAGGCTGACGTATTTGAAGAAGTAAGATTCGTAATATATTAACATATAGATTGAACTATTGATATGATCTCGCTGGCGTTGTGCTTGTAAACCTTGCTATTTTGTGAGGGAATGCTATCTGATCAATTTTTTCCTTTGAGAATAGACTTATCTTACTCTATCTGTGTGAACTGTTACAGAATCCTTGCGCAGCTAGAAGATGATGTAGTCCCTTGTGAATCACAGATGGAGAATTGGAAAACAAATTTGGAAGTTATGGCAGTGAAGGAGGAACAATACATACAGCAGTACAAGAAGTACGAGGTAAAAGCCTTCTTCTTTCAGTTTATACATTCTCGTTTGGTAATAGGTAAACTGAGAATCAGATATCTTTCTGCAATTAGAGCTGGTAGGGAATATTTAAGAATCATACCTTTCTGATTCCAGGGATGAAGTTATTTAAAGTTTGTAATATTTTAAACACACACTCTGATAAAGATCTAGATCGTCTAAGAACTGAAATGATGATGTTTGCTAGGTAAGTATCATTAGCATAGGATAGGATGCAGAAATAATGGTTGAAACTTCAGGACAATGTTAGTTTTGGAGGTTAATCTGCTTCTAGTGGTCTGTATTGATTATATGGAGAATTTTGCTCCTTTAAACAATCTGACAAAGTAAAAATGAATGGTCAGATGTTACTCAATCGTGTTGGCTACTCTCCTAAGATCAGCCACAGAGAGCTGGTAGAAATGGCAGAGCACCGGAAGGAGTTGGAGAAGATGACAAAACCCGTCCTTGATACTCTAAGAAGCTACCAAGATTTACCTCCGGTAAGCTTCATCACTAGTTCTCCAGGCCTTGATAAAACTCATTGATCTGCATTATCAGTTACCTCTTTACTGGTCATTGCTAGTCCCAGTTAACAGTAGATTGCTTGCCTATTTCATTAAACAGGACAAAGCTCTGGCCGCACTAGCGATCGAAGACAAGAAAAGACAGTTTGCTTCTGCGGAAAAGTATCTAGAAGAAGTATTACAATCAGCCCTTGAGACAAGTGATGAGTGATGATATAAATCCAGAAAAATATTATGTTTTGGGGTGTATAAACGTGCAACTTGTGTGTTTGCTACCAAATAGCCGAGCAGAAGATAAGAAAATTAGAGAGGCTATGCATTGCTTTATAAACTTACCCTTTTACTGAAAAAAGCAATGCAACAATCTTTCTACGGAACGGTTTTATTTTGAAATCATATCTAGAGCAAACCTATCAACAGCAGAGAAACATATACACAACACCAACAGAAATTCAAAAAGCAAACCTAAAGTGACATGTTGTGTCGTAACAACATAGGGTGAAGAGGGGGAGAAGTGAAAACCAAAGAAACTGCAAAGGAAGAATTTTCAATGGGAAAAATGTTATTTAAATCCCGAACTTATACATTTTGGTCATTTTAATCCTCGACTTTCACTGTGGCCATTAAAATTATAGACTTCTCGTTGGCGACATTTTTAAATCACTATCTTCTGTTGACTGAGCTAGATTGAGCATGTTGTCAAAAAAAATCTCTAATAGAGGAGTTAACAGCCGTTTAGGATCGTTAATCAATCTCTGTTAAGTCGAAAAATGAGAATCACAAAGACAAACGACGTCGTGTTGCCTTAAACGAAATGTCTAAATTCCCAAATCGACGTCGTTTGTCCTTGTGATTCTCATTTTTCAACTTAAAATAGATCGATTAATGATCCTAAACGGTTGTTAACTACTTTGTTAGAGAATTTGATTTGACGACATGCTCAATCTGGCTCAGTCAACAAAAGATAGTGATTTAAAAATAACGTCAACGAGAAGTCTATGATTTTAATGGCCACAGTGAAAGTCGAGGATTAAAATGGCCAAAATGTGTGAGTTCGGGATTTAAATTACATTTTTCCCAATTTTCAATCTCTAGTTTCAAAAACCTCTTCTTCGTTCAGTTTAGCTTTCAGTTGTTCCAATTTATCTCAAGTGAAATGATTGCTAGTGCAAGGCTCTTCAAATGATACAAAAAGCTGAACAAGTAACCTGTGGGACGCAATGTCCATTAGCTTTGGTCTTTGAATCTAGTACTTGACCCTTACAGACTCATTTGGCTAGCCAAACACGACGTTTCTGTTTCTCCTGGGGCGATTTCTTTATCAAACATTCAAACATAAGTATAAAGACAATTTTGTAAAGATACCAAAACTACAGGGGTCTTAGAACAAATAAAAAGAAAGAATATTCTTCTTTCCGTGGCATTGGCCCGAGTTTAAGTCCCTCTCTCGTTCTTTGTCGTCGGTCGCTACTTACGAATTAAGAGAAGTAACAGAAATTTGGATCGGCTCAATCTCTTATCTCTCAATGGGTTCTAAAAAAATCGGAAATTTCTTCGACTCCGTTGGTTCCTTCTTCTCCGGTGGCGATAAAATCCCATGGTGCGAGCGAGATGTCATCGTTGTAAGTTTCTTCTTTGCCTTTCTCTGGTTCCTCTGATTTTGAAGAGAGATTAACAAAGTCACCAACGAATTTTGCAGAGTGTTTTCTGAGATTTATGAAATTTGTTTGATTTCTCGATGATTGCTCGTCCTTGATCGTTTCCTTATTTGTGAACAAAAAAAAGTTAGAACTGAGCTTCAGGAATTTTGTGAATCGTGTAGATCGTTACTAGAGAACAACTCTTAAGTTCAAAATATCGTAATCAGTGATCGTATCAATCACAAGTGAAAACGAAACCTCCATGGAATTTGATCATTTGGAGCAGATTTTCGGATTTTCTGTCAAAGTCATGATCTTTGTGGAACGTTGTCTTTAGCTTTATGTTAAGATAGTTTCATGTCTTTGCAATGTTCTTCACACACCAAGTAATTCTCTAATGCTTGCATTTCTCAGGGGTGTGAGAAAGAGGTCAAGGAGTGCACTGATGGTGGTGACTCGGAAGAAAAGAAGAAAGAGAGCATTATGCGATTATCTTGGGCTCTTGTTCATTCTCGCCAAGCTGAAGATATCCAGCGTGGAATTGACATGCTCGAAGGTTTACTTCTTTACATCAAATTCTTTTTCCTTTGCTCTAATCACACTGTCAAACTCTGCTTTGCGCCTAATGAATGGCATAAAGCTTTTCTCTTTCATAGTTGTGTTAAGTTAAACTAGAATTTGACCAAACCCTTTGTTGCAGCTTCTCTAGCAAACAGTAGCCCTCCTTTGGAAGACCGAGAGAAGCTTTATCTTCTTGCTGTTGGATATTACCGGACTGGAGATTACTCTAAGAGCAGGCAGCTCGTGGAACGTTGTATCCAGGTTCATACTTTTCCCCACTTCCTGATAAGAGGCTCATGGTGTTGATGTTATCTACTTCTTACTCTCTTTATGGCTGGTTTCAATCTGTAGATGCAACCTGATTGGAGGCAAGCTTTAGGCTTGAAGAAAACCATTGAAGACAAGATTGCAAAGGGTAATTGAAAGCGGTTTTTGAATGCTTTTCCAATTTCCACCAATCTGAACACTGATCTGATGTAAAAATTTATTGGTCCCTAATTGCAGATGGTGTTATTGGGATAGGCATCACGGCAACAGCCGTTGGCCTCATAGCTGGTGGAATTGCTGCAGCTTTGGCTCGCAAGAAATGACCTAGTGCTTCTACAAATTCTATGTGTGTATACAGTGACAAGATGCTTTTAAGCTTCTATACAAGTTTTGTTATCACAGCCTTGGATTTTAATTTATTTTTCATGATCTTTACCTTATTTTTATATGCTCTGTTCAAATAGTTGATTCTCCCAAGCAACACTTTTATTCTAAGATTTGTGTGTCTTGGTGAAAGAATTGATCTTCGTTGGTGGTAGAATCAAAAGAAAACAGAAAAATTAAGGAGGTTATTTACTGGATAATTTCAAACTACATAGAGATAAAAAGGTTTTCGTTTTGAATGGTATTTCAAATTTTGTATTAATATGTGGTTGTTACATTTTTCAAGTATTATATCTCATGTTATTTGCTAGCTAATTATATGGACAGGCCAAAATAATAAATTTTGGTGGAAAAAAACTGGGATGGAAAAAAATGAGCTTATGTCATAACATAGTTTTGTTATTCAACTTATCGTTAAGTATAGGTAGAAAGACTTTCATGCTTTGTTAGTGTGAGTACTAAAAGGAAAACGATTAATGGTCCATGTATTGTTTTGAAAGAGAAAAAAAAATGTCCATTTTTATGAAATAATTATTAGTTGGTGTATATGTGAGAATTGTATTAAAAGTTTTTTTTGGATATAATACTTTTTTTATTTTTTAACGTTTCCATTTATCACATTTACAAATAAACAAAATTTATGCATTTTTTTTTTTTGAAAACCATTAATAAACTGGTATATTTAAAGTATGACCAGATAAAATGTACCCAAAAAAAGTATGACCAGATAAAAATCCGTGGTATGAATATTTTAGTAGTCTTTATTAATTGATTTGTCTAATATATTTTCATTTACGTATTTTTATTTTATTTTATCTTGTTAAAATTGGTTAATTTATTCATATAAATGTAATAAATGTATTCAAACCATTGTTGAGAGCTTCATTTTCAAAACTTAATACTAGAACAACGTAAATGTTTATTTTATCATCGATGAAGAAAAAAAAAATAAAAATAAAAATCCATATGTAGAAAAGAGAGAAAATAAGATAGGGGAACAAATAATATTGATTACGGATTCCGAATGGGCCCGAAAGCCCACGGGTATGGATTGGCCCATCAGAAGAGAGAGGTGTTAGTTATTATTTTTCGTGTGCTGAGAGACGTAAATTCAAAAAAATTGAGCAGAGCTCAGATCATAGCGCCAACGTCAAGCTCAGAGACGAAGTTGCGTGGGAGCTGGAGATGGAAGAAGTTTCTAATTTATCTTCTCAGATCCAGGACAGGTTTGGTTCTCACATACAAGGTACTCGTTTATCTTCTCTGCTTCTAGTAATCGTTCGAATTTTGGATTCTAAGAAGGACCGCGTAAGCCTTTTTGAACTTTTGGATGAACTCAGGTTCGAACAGACTTCATTTCTCCTCTGATTCTAGGTCGATTTGATTCGCACATACGAGGTAACCGTTAATCTTCTCTGTATCTAGTAAGCGTTCTCTGTTGATCGGTTTTGATTTTTGAACCAATCGCTTAAGGTGTTAGTTTCTGAGCTTCGATTCTGGACAATGCATAAGGTTTATCGGTTTTGTCCAATGATCTGAAGCATAATCTGTCTTTAGCTGAAGTTCTTATGTCGAATCCTGTCCATGTTTCGCTCAAATCTCTGAATCACAAATTTCTCTGTGTTCGAACACTAGATCGGTTTGGATTTTGAACAAACCGTTTGAGGATGTATGTGTGTGCGCGTTTCTGAGCTTTGATTCTGAATAAATCGTCAGGTTTATCATTTCTGAAGCATAATCTGTCGTAACCTATGGTGTTATAGCGAAACATGGAATCAAATCTCTCTAAATCACTGTTTTCAACTCTGATTTCGAACCAGCAACACTAGATCCTGTCTTGTAGATGATACATTGAGTGCTATAGAGCGGATTCGTGTGGAATGTTTGAGTTTTTCTGTTTTTGGAACCAGTGTTCTGTGTACTCATTTTTTGGGATAATGGAATGGTTGTTTTTCTGATTGTTAGAATGGAGAACTTTGATGAGGTCCGTGTTGACGATCAACCAAAAGCAATGACACGACAGCCGCCTAAAGAACCAGTGCCAGAGATAGTCCCATCATCATTGGAGTGTCACAATGGAGCTACATCAGATTGGGACGAACTCTCAGATAAGGAGAAAGCCAACTGTTTCATTGAGAAGGCGCTCTCGTCATTGGAAGAACTCAATAGCCAGTGCAGTGAAGATGGAGACAGGAAAGGGATTCTTGATACCTTCGCTCTGTGCCTTAGAGATTACTACTCTATCCAAGAAATCGAGGTACATATGCTTGCCACTCATGGTGTGTCAGCTGAAGCAGTGGGAGCACTCTACCAGGATCTTCTATCACGCACCCGTGTCAATGCCAGTGTAGTTGAGGCTTATAAAGAGCATTCTGTCCAACGTGCTCGTGCAAGAGATGGAAGCACAGTCTCTGGTTCTTCTGGAAATATGGCACAGCCGCACAATCTCTCAGTTAAGGAGCAAGCCGATATTTACATTGCCAAGCTGCTAGAGTTGGTGGAGGATCTTAATGCTCAGTGCGGTGACGATGAAGAGACCAAAAAAGTCAATGATAGCCTCGCTGTGTGCGTTTCACGTTGCTACAGTCGCAGAGAGATGGAGGCATATTTCTTAGCCAAGTATGGTAAATCAGGGGGAACAAGGATCTATGATGCGATTGTAGCTGGTACCGGGGATCCCGTTGGAGGTGATGCTTATGAAAAGCATGCTATCGTTTGTGCTCGTGCAAGGGCAAGAAAGGAAGCTCAGAACGAAAGGAGGGGAGGACCTTCTACTTGAGGAGCAACTGAGGTTCCTAGTTCGAGAGCTAATAAGAAGGGGAGGTAGGATCTTGGGAAGGTTTGTTTAGTTGCCTAAAAACTAGTGATGCAGTTTCATCTGTGTTATTTTCAGTCTCACTTGGCCTCCAATTAGTTGCTTTTGGTTTTTGCAGAGTGCTCCCGGAAGCAGTAGCGCAAGTAAAGAGGGCAGAGGTTACAAAGAAGGCGTGTCTTTAGCTGTTGAGAGTATGGGAAGGTTATATAGCTTTTGTAAATAAGAAAAGAAAAAAACTCCATGTGTGTGTTGCTTTTGGAAACTCCAAAGATCGCTACTACTCACTCTGCGTACTCTAGTGGCTTTTGGTTTGGTTTCTTCTTTCAGTCTTTGGTTTGATATGGTGGAACTTTTGCTGTCAAATAAATAAAAAGATAAACCGACGACGTGATGATTTCTGCTCATTTATATGTATGATCCGATCCGTATCAGTCAGCCCACATATTTAGTCTGTGTGATTTTAGTATATACTGTAGTTACCATACATTTGAGTTTGAATATATATATTCTTATCCCTAGAAGACGTAGAAACATATCTTGAAACCTCAAGCATTTCTATACTCACTCTTGTAAGGTGGGTTATGTTATGTTAAACACAAGAAAACATAAGAGATAATATTATGTTAAATTAAGACAAACGTGATCTCCAATTTTATAGGCTAAAAAGTAATGGATAAAGACAAAAGTCATTTTGAATGTCATAGGCCAAAATAAGTCCATCTTGGGCGGACAAACTTGTTCGTAGCGGCATCCTTGGAAACCCGACTCGCACGCTTCGAATAAGCTACCATCTCAGCTATGGCCTTCTTGAGGGGGAGTATGTTCAAAGGCTGTTGATCCTTGTTGCTCATGATTATCTTCTTACTGGCAGCGAGACGCTCACCCTCAAACGCCTTCCGCCTGTTTTCCATAAACAAAAGCAGTTGCTCCTTATTCATTATTACCTTACCACTTGACGTCTTCTCGCCCATCGTGATCGGATTCGATTTCAACCCCACAGACGGCAGTTCTGGACAGGAAATGAAACAGTGAGAGACAGAATCGAATCCCTAGGACTAAGTAAGTAGCTTCTACGAATGGGCCCTCCAAACAAATATATAAGAAGCCCACTAATAATAGATCCACTCTCCGAAAGTGGCATGGGTATTGGTTTGGTTCGATTGAGATTTCTGTATTATGGGTTTTCCTTTTTTTTTTTTTGTCGTCATATTATGGGTTTTCCATATTCTAAATAATTGATTTGGTTTGCTTCAGTTTTAATAATTAGATTTGATTTGGTCCAACTCAAGATGAGGCCATTCATGTAACATAGACTCGGATTGTGTGACTGTCCGTGTCCAATTTGGAACACAAACACTGACCGAAGACACTAGATCGGATTTGATTGGGCTCTACATTGTAGAGAGGTGACATTGACACTCCCATAAATATTGGCTTTTCTACTTTTTCATTTTTATTGTACTTGTTTTTTCTTTTTTTCTTTTTTTTTTGGTTTATATGATCCATAATTCAAAGGTGTTTCCTCACGTAAAGTCCCAATCTCGTTGTGTTAATCTTTTCACGACAATAGATTTGATGTTTCAATTTTAAGTTAGAGACGAAAGACTGATTGCTTCCATTCTAAGTCTACCAATCAATTCAAATCCTCATTATTAAAGTTAATTAATTATTTGTCTTTCTTCCCCATATATTTATATATATAGTAGTAATATTTTTCAAAAAAAGATCTTTATATCTTTTTTTTTTGTCAAAAGCCAACGTTATCTTTTAGACGTAACCAAACAATCAACCGTAACTTATTTCTAATTTCTAGTTTCATTAGAAATAAAACATTGTATATACTGGTGAAATTACACGTAAAATATACCAACGATATTCGACGTATACCAAGTGGAATTGCATACCGTTTTATACGACGACAGCCAAACAGCCACACAACAAATATTTAGTAATTACCAAAACTTTTCAAAGGATAATATATATTTATATACCCGCCTATAAGACATTGCTGATGCAAATACATACAAAAACTTCAATTAAACCACAGTTCTCGAATCACGCATAAAACAAAATCATGTACAACTATTATCGTGTGCGATAGGTTTAGCATTACGAACCACAAACAATCTCTCAATTAAACATATAAAATTTGAAAACATCAGTTTCTTAACCAGAGAGAACATTTATACTATTGTTGTAGTGACTTCGGTTCTAGATTTAAAGTGGCTTCGACACCATTTTCTAAACATACCAAGTTACGTATCAGAGCGTGAACTAGGCAGAAATTAGCTTAGAAATATAAAACATTAATTGATGGCAAAATTAATTTAATTGATACAACTCTAGTCTCTAGAGAAACTAAATTAAATAAACCTAAGTCTTTAATTATATAACGTCGCATGATCTTCTTCGTACTCCTCCTTACGTCCTCCATCATTTTCCATATACAAAAAATAATGTATATAGAAGATACAAGGACTAAATTTCGATAAAATATATTTTGAGTCTTAAATAATTAATGGTTGAGATATAGAGACCAATAGGGAACTAGAAGTGATGTTGATGATGGTGATGATACATTGTAGATGGGTCATGATGATGATGATGATGCCGACTCATACCTTCCCTCTGACTGTTATGATCATCCCCTTGGTCTCGCCCCGGACCCATCTGACCCGTACCAGCTCCAAGATTGAGATACACCAATCTTGAATCCAAGTTGTTATTGCTCCCTCCACTGCTTCCACTATTGTGCTCCTCATTCATATGAGGGTACATCCCGTTGTTGTTGTCATTATTGTGATTGTTGCTATTGTTTCCTTCTTCTCGTGATATCACCATTGCAGCGGACTGAACAAGCTCAAGGCAAAGCCTAAGCTTGTTCGGTTCAATGTGAGTCAGTCCAGGAACTGCCCCCTTGAACAAGAAATCCGAAGTTAGTGTTCTAAGGATATCAAGAGGAGTGATACCACCAACTGTACGAACATTAGGATCGGCGTGGTGGTCTAACAGAACAGCCACCATGTCGGGAGAGACCATCTCAGCGGCGATGTGCAATGGTGTTTTCCCCGCGGGGCCTGCTGGATAATTCACATCGGCAGCTCCGAGTTCAAGCAAAGCCTTCACAACTTCTCTACTGCAGCTTTCAACAGCGTAATGCAATGCTAATGACTCATCAAGATTGAGTCCCTCTCCCATAACCATCAGTTTCACAAGCTCCACGTCTGACGAATCCAAAGCTCGTCTCATCCTTCTAATCTTTTGATCTTCAAGGTCTTGCGCCACGCTGAGATCATGGTGGTGGTTGTGAGGCATTAGAGAACGGCGAGCTATGGAGGATTTGAGACGAAGCTCTTCGATTTTGGCGACAACATCAATGGAGAGATGCTTGGCTAGAATCTCTGGAGGGAGACCTGATTTAGCAACTAAGTGAGAGCAAGTAGTCCATAATTGATGCATGTCTTGCTTCCTTGATGCTATCAAAACTTTCATCACATCTTCAATAGAGGCTTTCTCCACCATGCTTGCCAATTGTTTCTGCCAATCATACAAAACAGTTTTATTTAGTTAATTAGCATGATATATAAAAATCCAAAGAACCGACATATTTTCCCAAAGTGGGTTTAATAATTTCCTTTTTTAGGTTATGGTTTTGTTTCTATTAATTAGCTTTCTTGTCATCTCAGATGGAAATTCTTGATGGTGGAGTAGGTTTTATTCCTTATCTATATAGATAGATAATCATCGAAATCCCAAATGAGGAAAATTAAGGGAATAGTGGAATAGGATAAGAAATTAAGACCAGGGAGTGAATAGATCCAACTACACAAAAACATAGCTCTTCAAAGTTTCTACTTTTAGGAAAATCCCCCTCCGTGCATCAAAACCACACACATGAAATTAAGACAAAACACAAACACACTTGCATAAAAGTTATAGATAATCCAAGGAGTTTCGAAATTTAAAATTTTTAAGCCAAACCCAAGAAAGAAAAACAGTATAATTTAATCAAAAGAGGTTTCGTGATATGTATATACCAAATTAAAGCCAAAATAATGGAAAAAAAATTGAATAAAAAAGGATTTGTGATTAAACAACAAACTCATGAAACAAAACAATCAGAACGAAGCAGAACCAAGAAAAGAAAAGAAAAAACTTATAATATTGTTTCGTTTTATTTAACCAAAAAACTTATAATATTGTTTCGTTTTGATGTGCATGGAAAGGTAAACTTAGTGAAGGCAGAGAGAGAAAGAGAGAACCTGAGTGAGCAATGCGAGCTGCTCGACGCCGAAGTAACGAGAGGCGGCAAGAGTATCAAGAGCAAGATCAACGGCAGCTGAGCAATGCGTGTGCCAACATCCTCTCTCGCCACAATTGGGTCTCGGCTCGTGTTTCTGCGGCACGATCGAGACTTGTCCGCTATAAAGAAACTGAAGAAGCAACAGAAACACCTCATAGCCGACTGAGTTCACTGGTATAACTCCAGCTGGGGCCGTGGAGCCTCTTGTTGGGCTAGCGGGTACGGACCCATGTCGGGTCGGGTCTATACCTGTCACACCTTGCGGTGAGTCGTTCCCACAGAAGAATTTCCGGAAAAAAAGACTCCGAGCGGCGAGGATGCAACGGTGAGCGTGGACTAAACGACCTTCAACGCTAAAAGTCACGTCCGAGAAAGCTTGACCGTTGATTAATAGGTTTAGGAAATCCAACGATAGAGATCTCAAGGATTCTTCGAGGCTGCTCATCCTTTTTCTTTAAAAATTTGTAGCTTCTTGAAATTCTCTCAAGATCAAAGCTAGGGTTTAGCAAGGAATCTTGAAAAGAAAAAAAAAAAAGGGTTGCGTCTTTTGATTGATTTTTGTTGGCTAGTAAAAAAAAAAATAACAAAAGGGAAACAAATGTTCCCGGGGGGAAAAAGCTTAAGTTTTGATCTTTTGAAGCTTCTTGTTGCTCCTCTCTCTCTGAGAAAGAAGAAGAAGAAAGAAGAGGGAGAGAGAGAGAGAAGGATTCTTTTATTACTTTGTGGTGTTAGATATTTTTTGGACTGATAAGAGAGAGAGAGAGAGAGAGATAGAGAGGGATTTGAATGGATGAACCGGGCGGCTCAGATATTTAAACTAAGAAGGTAAAAACATAAAACTAAAAAAACTATTTTGTCTTAATACCGGTTATAAAAGGGTTAAAGTAGTATTTAATCTAATGGACGTTTAGTGATTTGGTTACTAAAATAGGAAAATAATTATTGAGGAGAAAGGAATACAAAAGGTGGGCCAAATCTATTAATGGAAAACAAATATAGTAAATGGAATGAGAAAACTATACTAATATATATATAATCGAGTGTTAAATATATAATGAACATGATCATTAGCACCTGACTAATCAAAATCCAACTTAAAGAATATCAACGAACATAAGATTTCCAAAACGAGGCGTATGATAATATAATAAATCCAAGATCCTCGGCAATTGTCTTTTTGGCTCTGATACAGAACATGTGAAACCCTGAAACAAAAACCATGGACATATATTAGATACATATGTCATGTGTGTGTGTGCATGGAGCAAGATGGGATAAAATGGTAAAAAAATGGGAGGGAAGGTGATGGATAAGAACATAGGCCTAATTTAAGTTAAAAGACAGAAGAGAGTGAAATAAATATTTTTCATAACTGTAGTGAAGTCTGATTTGATGGTTTTCTGTTTGACCGTTGGACCAATCCTCACCATCCTCCTTTTCTCCTCTCTTTACTTTGCTTTCTCTTTTTTTTTTTTTCTTTTCATATTTGAAGTTTGCTTTTACTTAACTTTTTTCTTGGCTAGGTATTGAAATTTATCTCTAACCAGAAGATCCCGTAAACAAAAAAAATCCCTCAAGAGTATGTATACAACAGAGCCTGGATATATATTCTTACAATCTAAAGCATGCACAGTTGTAACCAAATTTAATTAAATTATTTTTAGCTTAGATTAACCTTGGATTTTTGTAAACAATATGGAGTAGAGTATATTGACTGAAAAATTCTCTTAGTGTTCAAATGGTATATAATTTTAGATTGCTACATTCATTTTTTTTTTTTGCGTGTAGTTTTCTTGAATAATCTTTTCCATTTGTTGTGTGGGGGTTGAATGATTCATCTATAGAAAATGAAACTCTTATATCTTTTACAATAACTTATCATGTATTATAATATTATATGTAAGATATATGCTAACGTCGTTTTGTATATTAATGGTGATGAAGATATGTTTCATTAGTAAAGAGGATTTGCACTAGATGGCAACATAATAGAACTACTTGGAAAAATGGGTTAAAACAATTTGTTTTAACGACTTCATCCATGTAATAAAGTTTAACATTGTGGACGCCTTGATTTTGTTATTCCATAACAGACGATATATAGTTTTATGTAAATATTTTATTTTTGTTATTTAAACATGTGATCCATTATTTTTAGGCTTCAATTATTATTTTAAAATAATATAATCGTGCACTTAATTTCATCATAAATTTCCAGATGTACACGTTAGATCTAGTGAAAATGTTGTTTTTGTAAATACGAAACTATGAAATCAAGGAACTTATTATTGATCACCAAAATAAAAATTTATTAGACTAGTAGTAATAATAAAAGAAAAGCAAAGAAATCTTGACTAACATGCAAAAATCAAATCAATCAGGTAGAGAGAATGAAATGAATGTGAAACATCCAAACCACAGAAGTCAAGACGTGGCTCTGATAATGGCGCAGTCGTGGTCCGAACCCAATATATATATTCACCAGCTGAGAAAGCTGTATTTCATTACTTGGACTGGACCAATCAAAATTAAATTCTTTTAATCAGAAATATAATAATATAATAATAATAACACATGGATGGGAGAGACATGGACAAGCGTGTCGGCCGGATCGATAGGGTCCTTCTTGTTGTTGTCTTTTTTTTTTTCCTTCTTCTATTAATATTATCACAAAAACGGTAGTAGTATAAGAATTCCCTTAATTAATTTATCACGAAGATAATTTTTCTTAATTTTCCCCAATGGAAAATACATAATTATGCTAAAAATGTAAGACCTTTATATTAGCATCTAAGTTATATATATTATGTCTTCTAAAAAAAAAAGAGTCATTTTAGTTATGTGAACTTTTAAGATGTTACGAGAAAAGATGATGGGAATGACATCTTGTACGAACTATATTTTTGTTTTTTGTTTTCGTTGGTATATCTTTGTGTATCTACGTCGTGCGTTCGAGGGTTGCACGTGCGAGATGATAATTTTGAAGATATTTTTATCTCTGAATGTTTTGGTAATTTGAAGGGTAAAAAGAAAAGTGAGAAAAAAAATAAGAGAAAAAAGAATGACAACACAGAAGGGCACTGACAGTCGTATGATAAGGAAGTGGTTCGATTTGACGTTTGACTTGTCTTTTCACCTCTCTCTCTCTCTCTCTTCTTCTTTTCTTTTTTTTACATAAATCTCTCGTCAAATTAAAACATATCAAATGGTTTTCTTTTCTTTTTTAAAAAAAAACTCAGTGGAAAAGATTTTTATGCTCACTGAAACGTCCTATTTCATGTTCTTAACATGTTACATATATGAATATATATAGGTAAAAGTTTGAAACACACCATGGTCGTGATTGGCCTAGTTTGCGTAAGTATTTGTGTGTTGAGGTTCCCCTCTCGTCTTAGGTCAATTATGGTATTCATTTAATGGTCTTTTACTAGCAGCTATGATTACTGTGTTTTATACTAAAAGACATAAGATAGTTGTTGTTTCTTTTTCCAGACATAAGTTGACTGTTACTCCTTGTTAGAGTGCTTAGTGAGTTTTATAAGTTTATTGTAGACAAAAAATAAATCAAAATTGAACAATTAAATAAAGAGGGAACCTAAATTAAGGGGTTTTAGAAGTTGTGTTTAGGGATATTTAAAGACACATGGCAATTACTCATTGGTAAAAAATATATTCATCTCTTTCTCTTTCTATAATTCTTTCTCCCTCTAACATTTTTATTTAATCAATTTTTATTAGTGAAATGTTGTTAAGCATTCTTTTAGAGGTTCACAAATGGAGGTGGTCTTAAATGGATAGTTTGGATACTAGTTTTCTCAAAACCTAACGTACATAATTGAATAATTCATATACATATTAATATGTTTTAAGCTAATGTATAAATTATGCGTTATGATCAAGGAGGAGGGGAGCTCCGCTAACAGATTCTATATATATGTCTACGTACCTTGCCTGTTCTCTATCAAATTCTTATGAACAATCTTTACATGTCATGGGGTTAATCTCTCATATCATATATTTTCCACATTCAATAAAAAAAAGTAGTAGTTCTAAAGTAGAATTACGAGAATATGAGTTGGAGAGAAATTATAAGTAGTAGTTCTAAAGTAGAAATTATAAGTAGTTTTTTTTTTTTTTCTTCGTTCGTAACTAAAAGTAGTTTTTCTATAATCTGGTTTTTTTTTTAAAACTTATTTTGGACAAGAAAGAACAGATGGTAATTGGTAAAAAAGATTGGGTAGTCATCTCAATTAGTTACCAGATAGTAAATGGGAAAGCGGGTCCTGGTTTGACGGGATCCGAAAGTTTTTCCTACCTACTTACTATTTCTATATTTTACCCATCTTTTGTTTCCTTTACACTCTTATTTTTTTCTAAATTACAATATATATATATATATAAAATGGTTGGAATATTATGTGTTTCATCCAAACTAAAATTCGTATAATCCATGTTATTAAAGAAATGGTTAAGGTCTATATTCCATCGACGCTAAATTAGTAAAAGGTTAAAAAGAAGATCCCAAAAATGTGAACATAATTAGAATTAGTCTTTCCTCTATATTAGTGTCTATTTTAGGCTAAATCCTTTCGAGTGACCCGACAATTCCACCTATCAATTTTAATTGAATTCTATTTTTAAGTGTACTCACTAATTATATAAATAAATTATCTAAGTGTATATGTTAATGCATATAGATTCGGATGATTACGCAAAATATGTAACATACTTTTTTTTATGATCAATGCGCATGTTCACGATTAATAATAATTAATCTAAACATAGTTTAATTAACAATGAAACCCCACATTGTGTATTTCATATTCCATATGCCACTTTCTAAAAACTTTTTTAAAATATAGTATATTTTAATTTATTCCCCATTCCTTTTTCTTCCCCTTTCTCTTTTCTTTTTATCGTTAAGAAATTATTTTTCTGTCATTTGCTTGCTTTTTGTTTTCCATACTCCGACAGCATTAATTTTTTTATTATATTACAAGATTAAGGGAAAAGTTAAAAGATGCCACCTAAACCCTTATATACTAAATAATTACTTTCGATACGTGGAGAAATGTTGATCACTACATTTCCATCTTTTCATTTTTGTTTCTTCTTCATAACACTTAAAAGCTTGTATAGTCTTCGTTTCTCCTTACAAACTTAAATAAATAATTAACTACTATTATTTAAGAGGTATGTGTGGGTTACGTGGATGAAGACTTGGAAAAAAATTATACTACTGAAATTATCAATAATGAGAACTCAAAGAAACAAGTGGACTGTTCACATGGCTAATTAATCCTGTTTAATTTGGCAATCTTCACTGTTCTGTAACAGTGAACAACTAACGAAATGCTATATGAACAACATGGTTCTACACTTTTTTAATGCAGTACCAACTTTAACGCACCAAACATCAATATATATACACATTAATTTATTAATAACAGGGAAGCCAATGGCCCAACTATATGAAGATGTTTGTAGAATCCCACTTACAACTTAGTTCCTGACCTGAATCAGTGAATTTTAAGACTATTTTCGTGAGCTTACTCAAAGTCAGTAGAAAGTTTGCAATAGTCAAATTATCAAAAATGCATAAAAGATAACAATGGTCAATATGTACAACCAGTGAGCTAGTGGCATACTCTCTAGGTCTAGGAAGGTGAAGAACTCTTTTATAGTTTGAACGAGATTTTAATTAGCTAAGTTAATTAGATTTTGTTG